GTCTGCTCAGAGATTTGTAAGTATGATGTGTAGCTAGTTTGTCTTTTACGATCTTGTTGATTTTATTGCTCGCGCGTTTGAGGTTCAGAAGAACCGATTGCGCATAGAAATAATCATAGCTATAGGTATACCAGTCACAAACAACCAAAAAGTTCGATAAATAGTGCATCCGCCAAAGATTTAATCGTTGCTTTAAATCTTTCGCACATTTAGGTTATTTATCGGACTGCCTTACCCAGCAGCCTTTACTGCAATCCATAACTCGTTGATATTTATGACCATTGTCAGTCATATTTCTATTCTTTTTACAATTCTTCGGTCAATTTTTTTAAAGTAGAAATCGTGATTTGTCCTGAAATTGCTTCTGACCACCAGATAGCAGTCCAATCTTTGTGTGTTTTTTCAAATTTTATGCTAGACGTTATATGTTTTTCAATAAGACATGATTTCTCGTGGTCACGCAGCCATCAAACACTTGCCTCTCTAAAACTTCTTTTTTAGTTGGAACAAATATGTGCCGTGTTCAATATACATCTTGGCTTTAATCTGTTGAGCCGTCTTGAACTCTTTTGATATGTTTATTCTGACAAACATGCATATTGTTTTGCCAATGTCATCCCTGCTGATGGCCCCAGTCATGTCCATAGCCTCTTAATCATATTGGTTATTTTACTATTTTTTTCTTATAGCACCATTGCCTTGCAAGAGAACTCTTGATGTAGCCTTCATTTTGGATTCGTCTGGTAGTATTTTAAACGACAAATTTACTGAAGCGAAAAAACCTTGTTGAGATGATTGCAGACACGTTAGAAATATCTTGGCAGAAGACGCATATTGCTTTAATGGTTTATAGTGATACTGCAAACATTACATCAACATTTAATGATATTTATTCAAGAAATGACCTCACCACTCAACTGAACCTCTTACCTCATCTTCGTGGCCGAACTCGTATCGATCTAGCCTTGAAACTAGCGAATTCTGATCTCTTTACGCGAAGAGCTGGAATGCGATCTTCGTTCCCGAATGTCGCTGTGGTTATCACAGATGGCCGTCAATCTCCGGCAGCCGATGCTATCCGATTGGATGAAGCTGGTGCCCCGTTACTCGTCAGGAGGGTGAAGGTGATTTCGATTGAGTGGGAAGAGGATTGACCGGCAAGAATTGCACATGATGGTAGAAAGTCCAGAAATGAGTTTCTGGGCTGAAAACTATGGTGATATTCGCTTGCAGCTATCTGCCATTTCTAAACACGTCTGTTCGAGCAATTGAGACTAAAAAATTTTTGTCTTGAGACGTTATCTTTTTTTTAATTAATACTTGGGCAAAACATTTCATTGTTTTTTAAGTTTTCTGAATTTTTTTACTGAGGATTAAATATTTCTTATTCGTTATTTCGCCGAATATATAGCGGATCTAGTTTACTGTTTTCATGAACATATTGCTTAATCCCACGACTATCCCAATTGCTTTTTGTTAAGTTTGCTATTGTGGAGTACTTGCTTCTGTTGTATGGTACTTGATAGTATTGCATAGTACTTTCAGTATTGTGGAATACTTGCTTCTGTTGTATGGTACTTGATAGTATTGCATAGTACTTGTCAGTATTGTGGAATACTTGCTTCTGTTGTATGGTACTTGATAGTATTGCATAGTACTTGCCAGTATTGTGGAATACTTGCTTCTGTTGTATGGTACTTGATAGTATTGCATAATACTTGTGAGTATTGTGGAATACTTGCTATTGTTGCTTAGTACTTGCAGTATTGACTAGTACTTGCCAGCAGGTATTTCATTTTTTGTCTCGAGCTGCGTTCTCATTATCTGTAACGATGTGTGATGAAAATGCTACAGTGAAGTATCAAAGTTTTACTTGTTAATACCTTACCATAAGTTTGGTGTATAACTTTTAGTCTGTTACAGCGACGTATCAAAGTCTTTTGTATACGTGATGTAGCTGCCTCTCTACGTGTAAGTTTCAAATTGAGATCTCAAATACTTGTCATAAAGGTAAATGGTTTTTTCATGATATCCTGTAGCTTTCATGTACTCATGTATGTAATTTTATTATATACTTGCAGCCATAAGATCTTGACAATCATGAGCCACGAGTTTCTGATCGCCTCGAAAAAACTGGAGAAGTTAAAAAGAGTTTTCGAAATATTTGGCCGCATCGTCATGTTGAGCATACGCGAGGTGAAGTGAGTCAACTCTGAACATAATCTGTCAACAACGATCGACACATCATCTTTAGTTCAGCCAGTAGCGTTGTACGACTGCTCAATCCAAGTAATCCGTGTTTTCAATCTTTAACTAATAAAACACCTTTTCTTCAGCTTACAACCATCTTTAGCTGCTCTCTTTAATACATAAGAAGCTGTGATGAAGACGTTTCACTGCCAAAAGAAATCCTAACTAAACTTGTCCGACATGTTAACAAGTTGTACAAAGACTTTGAACGACGTTTTCAGCACATCAATATCATATGTGAGCGTCACCAAACTCATGCATTGTTACATTAACGATATTATCGATTAATGCATTGACGCACTCGCTCAACTTTTTGACGTTTTTTTAGGTAGCTGCTGTTGCTTGGAGTGTACCATTTACAACGTTTGAATACATCCCGAGGGACGAAAGGTAAATTATTTTTTTATTTAAGGCGACTTAGCTTTTTCTTCTTTTCTTTCACTTTAAAATTTAGATTTCTCTAAAAGAAAAAGTTAACACTACGACTGTACGACAGATAACCACGCAGGGCTATTGCGATTCTTTTTCGGCTTCTTGAAAAAAACCCCCAAATGTACACATTTTAAAATTTCCATTTTATCAAAAGAGAGGTCTTTTTCAACGTTACGTATCTATTATTTTTATTTACCTTTTATCAACATTTGCATGTGTTTACCTTAGTGTCTTCATTTTATCTACCTTTTGCATGTTTATCTTTTGTTTGCATTTGTGTCTAACTTTATGTCCTACTTTTGTGTGTACCTTTTTGTCTACTTTGGTGTCAACCTTTGTGTCTACCTTTTTGTGTATCTTTCAATCTAAATTTATGTCTACCTTTGTGTCTACCTTTTTGTTTAATTTCTTGTATGACATTTTCTCTGCCTTTTTCGTCTAACTTTTTGTCTACTTTGTGTCTACCTTCTTTCTATCTTTTTGTCTACCAGTGTCTACTTTTTTGTTTAACTTTGTGTCTACCTTTGTGTCTACTTTTTTTTAATGTTTTGTCCACCTTGTTGTCTAACTTTTTGTTTGTCTACCTTTTTGTCTACCTTTTTGTCTTCCTTTTTGTCAATCTTATGTGTATCTTTTGGTTTTGACTACCATTGTATCCAAATTTTTGTCTATCTTTCAATCTAAATTTATGTCAACATTTGTGTCTATCTTTTTGTCTGCCTTTGTATCTATCATGATGTCTATCATGATGTGTATCTTTGTGTCTAACTTTGTCTAACTTTTTATCTACGTTTGTTTATCTTGTCTTCCGTTGTCTCTTTGGTCTTTCTTTTTGTTTACCTTTTGTCCACAATTGTGTCTACCTTTATGTCTATTTTTTGATCTGCTTTTGTGTTGTTTGTACTTTCATGACTAATTTTTTCCTAACTTTGTGTCAATCTTGTTCCTTTCAGTGTCCATTTTTTTTTTTGTCTGTCTTCTATCTCACCTCCATTTTCTTTCCTTTGTCTATCTTCCTAGTGTCATCATTTTTATTTTTTTATCTTTTGATGTCTTTATTATTTCCCCATTTCTCCAATCTGTCCACCTTTGTTATTTTTCATCATTTATTATGTTTCTTTCTGAGTGTCCATCTTATTTTCCTTCGCGTTTACCTTTCGTCTATCTTTAAATTTTTCGTTTACCTTTGTCTATCTTTGTTTTATTGTTCGTTTTGTCTATTTTTTCTCCGCCTTTTTATCAATCTTTTTGTGTCCACGTTTTCGTCTACCTTTTTGTTAAACTTGTCTTCTTTCTTTGTATGTACCTTTGCCAACTTTTATGTCTATCTTTTTGTATACCTTCGTGTCTAGCTTTATGTCTACCTTTGTGTCTGTTTTTAATCTACCAATGTGATCCAATATTAATGGACCCCATTTTCTGATTTTCACTAAAATATCTCCGTTTTAGGATAGCTTTGGAAAATATATCCACCATCTTCGATCGTCGAATAGATAAGTTTACCAAGGAGATGGTGTAACCCTATTTCTGGGGAGTATTTTGTTTCTAAAACATGCAAGTTTTTGTTGTGATCCATGCGATGGTTTTGACGTTATTTGACTTTCCAATTTAGATAAGCGCATCGGAAATGCACGATAACTCTATAAAGTCTTACATAGACAAATGATTTATTTCATTTCATCTTGATCTTTTGCCTCTCTTTAAAAGTACTTAAAATTGTCGAATCGCGTTTCATTTCTCGTTTGTTCAACAAAACATAATATTTTGAAGATTGTTTTGTCAGGTTTTGTGTCAACGTCGTGTGATGAAAATTCCATTTTTGCAATTTCAATGACGTCATGCGGTCAATGTCTTTCCTCTAGCATAGTTAATACCGGAAAATGATTTTGCGTCTTCGATGATGCGTAGCACTTAAATGTGATAGTTCGCTTTCCATCAATATCTAGCTCATGAACAGGTATCATTTACTTAAACTCTTGATGGTAGGAAATTGACAATATTCGGATAAACTTGTATCGATATTTTGGAAGGGCGATTAGTTCATGTTGTCTTAGATGCGCGTGACGATTATTCTGACATTCGTATAAACGACCATGTGTAAATAAAGATAGTGTTTCCGACATGTAATGCAACGGTTGGTATTATATACTCTGAATGTCATTGAGTTGGCGACGCAAGTCACCAAGAAACCAAGCTCTAAGTACACCGTACGTCTTCAGTTGTTGTTCTTGTTAAAGGAAATGACATCACAGTGTATAACTCAACTAGATTTTTAATCATGTGACCAATGTACTTTTTGTTCCGCGAAATAAGAGAGCACATGTTTTTTAAAATATATTCTCAATTGTTATGTTGTTAAACGGTTGTATGATTCTATCTGCTTATCGGTCAAAACCTCTTCTAACAGTTCTATTGTCAAATAAACGACGTGATGATTTTAATGATGTTTTGTCTGCGCTCCCATTTTCCTGCTTCATGAAGTTTCAACAATACGTAATTTGATAAAGGTATGTCTGTTTCAGCTTTATATAAATTACATCTGGTTGTGTGACAACGTTTATTATTACGTCATAAGATTGGTATATTTGTTGCAACGAATTGATTGTTCATTCGAGTTATAACATCGTCAAGTATCGTCGAGAGTATTATGAGATATTGAAAGGCGAAGCATGACTTCATGCATGCTTATGTGCCATGGATATGCGTATGGCTGCGAAAAATTGATAATTCCATATTCATACATGCATCTTCCTCTTTATTAGTTTCTACTTAAATCAATAAGTGGTTACAGATTTTAACATATGAATATGAGCCGCCAATTGTCTAAGTTCTGCCGCTCCTGTTGTTTGTTCATTGGAATTTTTTTGTGCATTTTCAAGTGATTGTCACGAATGGCGAATTACGTGAGATCGCGTTGGTACGTGGGTTTTCCGCGACCCAAGAGAAGCGTGGACTATGATTTATCAAGTGAAGTCAATCGTGCTGCCCTGGCCAGACTGAAATCCATTGATGAGCAAGACACGAAAGATTTGCAACGAGCAGGGACCGTTCCCGATGTGAGTGACGTTAACGAAAACGGGAGTAAGGTGCAAACTAGTTTAGCTGATGAAATGAAACTGGCGGCAATTTATGACGACGAAAGAATGATCAATAATATTTTGAGAGAGAAAACAAGTGACCGTGAAAGTTAGTATTTCGTTGATGAAATATTAATCTCTTTTCCTTCAACCAGCTCGATATTTAAATGTTCTTTTGTAGTTCAAAGATTACTCTCGAAAACTGATGAAAGAGGACAACCATGTATATTTTACGCTTTGGAGTCGCGTAGTCTTAATTCTCTTACTTCCTTGTTAAATCACGTAAAAGACACCAAGTGTGTGATAGCTAAGAACGGAGAGAGTGTACTTCATGTAGCCACGAGAATGGGTGACGTAGGTAAGGCTGGAAGCCATGCTGCGTATTCGGACTTAGGCTTTTTTGTTTGATAAGTTGTTGAAAGCAAAATTTTCTAGAAATGTTTTTTGTGAAATTTGATTGATATTAACATACTATCAAGCTTGTTTTCACTGCTGTAATGGATGACTTTGCTTTAAAATGTAGGTCAACCTATTAGAAATTATGTATAGAATCCCTCTTGGTATTCTTACACTAGCCTCGTGCTAACTCCAATCCCAACTCTAACTAACCACGAACTAAGTTTACCCATTGCCATGCAGTTGTCATTCACGTATTCATATAGTTGTTTATCTATGCGTAGCAAGTTATCTGAGGTGAATTTTGTTGTAGGCCAAGGTAGTTCATAGTTGTGCTCTTTGCCAAGGGATATTTTAAGGATTTTACACAGGGAAGGCACCAACCACAAGACACTCCGTAAAGCGTGAGCCATGTGGCAGAGGGACCTGAAATACCCTTCCCAAGTAAAATTTTAAAAACTGCATCTTTGTAAATGCTATTTTATGCATTTGAAAGCAATTTACTAACAGCGTAAGAGACGTGCTATGAAATAAGCATTCTTTCTTCAACCGAGCAATGTATTATCCGCAATATAATATTTGAAATACTAATTACTAAAACACGCCAAAAGGGCCCAAGATGGAGAGGGTGGGGTAATTTTGATTCAGTGCGAGGCCAACATGAGTGTCTGAGATTTTCATTATCACCTTATCTCTTTGTGATGTAGATTTTCTTCATAACTTGTTGCAACATGACTTCATTGTTGATCTTGTGAACCATGTGGAAAGCGTGAATGGTCGATCACCACTTCATTTTGCCGCAACGTTCAACCATGTTGAGATCGCCAAGGTGTTGCTAGAACACGGTGGAAAGATAACAGAGGTTGATATCACAGAAAGATGTCCATTGTACATCGCCGCTAATAAAGGACATGCTAATATGCTTGAACTTTTCCTGAAACACGGTAAAACGATTTTCGCAACATGATATGTATATTTTGTTTAATGACTTTCGTCGTCGGCAGAAGGATTATAGATTTTTCGTTTGTCCTCCTGAAATGTGAAAATGTTATTTGTTTAAACGAAAGGTACAGTCGCTCCCTTCCTGCTGCCTATGTATTTATAAAACATTTCTATTTCAGAAAAAAGCAGAGTGCAAGAGTTATTGTTCAGCGAGGAGTATGGTGGAAGTCATTACCGCAATATACTTCATGTTGCTGTGGACAGTGGTGATGAACGTACTGTACAAGTTTGTCTGCAAGATGAAGATGTGATTCGTGAAGCTTTGTGCGAAGAAATCAGACATGGAGATGGTTATTTGATTCATGCGGCTTGTAAAAATGGCATGAAGAAGAGTTTATTTCGATTTGTGGATGTAATGACACATTTGGACTTCCTTCAGTTGAACAGAAAGGATAAACAAGGATTCACCCCGATTCATAAGTAGGTTTTACGTTTCATTCGTATCATCTGTACATTTAATTATTCAGGACTATTGGATTTAAGCCTGGCGTTATCACTTTGACAATTTATTTCATTCTAGAGCGGCAATCAATAATCACAGTGATATTGTCTCTTACATTGGATCAAAATCCAAGATTTTTGTCAATGAAAAGACGGAAAACTCCCAGTCTGCGTTGGTCCTTGCCGCTCAACGCGGTCATGTTCGTGTCGTTGAAGAACTGCTTAAATTGAAAGCTGATTTCACCATTCGTGATGACAGCAATAGAACGGTTCTTCACTATGCAATTGCATATCCTGAAACATTGAGAATTTTGCTGAAGGTATGCGTGGTTGCTATCGTTTTGTTTGGAGATGAAAAGCGAAGCTTTAAATTTTAATCATAATCAAACACGTTATAGAAAAAAGATCTCGGGCCGTTGCTTATTAACGAGAAAGAAATAGACGGTTATACACCCATTCATAATGCCGCCTTAAAAGGATTTCTTGAGGTAAGTGTGTTGCTTTTGCTTTGAGATTAAGTCAAGACATACACAAGTACATTACAGGAGGCTCATTTCTTTATTTTAGAGTGTCCGTATTTTGTTAGAATATAACGCTGATCTGAATGTCTTCACGAACACTTCTCGTTCGCCATTACATTGCGCTGTTAGTTCACAGAACTCTGATGTGGTTGAATTAATCCTAGCCAATGAACCAGCTTTGATCAACAAGGTCGATGCCACAGGAAAACGCCGCTCCATACAGCAGCGAACTACAGTAGCCCAGAGGTCGTCAAATGTCTTCTGAATAACAGAGCAATTATAGTTAGGTAATTTTCTATCTTGCCATCAACGAAGTTTACAGAGAAAAAGATAACTGTAAAATGTCTTAACTTAATTGATAGGGAAGAAAGATTTGAGTAAAATATTTATTGTGTACTTAAGGGATGGAAATTTGTTTAGTCCACTTCACATTGCTGCGTTCAAAGGACATCTTAATATTGTTGAATTGTTGGTGATGTTCAAACCTTCCATGATCAATTGGGAAAATAAATACAAACGAACAGCATTGCTTACAGCAGCTGTGAAAGGCAAAGCAGATGTTGTGAAGTATTTGCTAGATAGCCTGGCGGCAATTACAGAAGATTATGAGTTCTTTAACTGCTTGGATTGGGCCATCATAAATGACGATACAAAAGCGCTATGGTGATGATGTCATGATAGATGGAAAGAGGTATGTTTCATTATAATGTATTTGATTTTATTATCAGTATAGCAATTAAGTGTAGCATTCGGTTTGACAGTAAGTATATGTTCAACATGTTTCTTATTCTTGTGCATCTTCAGTGTACTGGTGTTGTTGTTTTTTGACAAACTGTCGTTTACGAACAACACCGAACTTGTGTTCAGATTATTTTCAAGACAAAAAATGGTACAGAAGGAACGATGGCGAAGTTGGTTTCTAAGAATATGTCCGAAGTGGCGTATCGAGCTCTTTCTAACAGCATGAATACCACAGGACACCCAGAGAGTATTGACCATTTGGTTGCATACGACTTTTTCTGTTTACAAAATACAGGTGTGGTGAGCAAGCTATCTTATATAGAAAATAAAGATCTAGTTGAGGATCTCAACTTAATCCAAAGAAAGTTCTCAAAAAACGTTAAAAAATTGAGAATGCTACAATTCTCATAGTAGCTACTACGCTCAATGGCTCCGCCAAGGGGTGGGGGGTGGGTGTTGGGTGGTGATGCAATATTTTCTACACAAAACATAATTGCTATATATTTTCCTCATTTCCCACCACCACCATCAACATAACCACCATTAACACAACCTCCACCAACACAACAACTACCACAACAACCACCACCATCAACACAACCACCACCACCACAACAACCACCACCACCATCAACACAACCACCACAAATACCACCACCACAACAACCACCACCACCATCAACACAACTTCCACCAACACCACCACTACAACAACCACCACCACCATCAACACAACCACCATCAACACAACCTCCACCAACACAACAACCACCAACACAACAACCACCACCACCATTAACACAACCACCACCACCACAACAACCACCACCATTATCATCAACACAACCACCACCACCACAACAACCACTACAACAACCACCACCACCATCATCACAACCACCATTAACACAACCTCCACCAACACAACAACCGCCACCACAACAACCACCACCACAACAACCACCACCACCATCAACACAACCTCCACCAACACAACAACCACAAACGCCACAAAAACCACCACCACCACAAAACCACCACCACCATCAACACCACCACCACCATTACCAGTCTATGCATCATTGCTTCCATGTATTGATGAAGTATTGTATTGTCTGCAAAAGGTCGCCAAGGTTGAATAAATGAAACAGTCACGTGGTTATTTATATCTTATCATATTTGAATAAGACATTTTGTATAGACATAGCCACTGACTACGCTTTTTAGAACCGTGTTTTCATTTTACTGTTTTCATCGTGTACATCCTCTGTCTCCTTTTCGACAAGGCTTTCCTTATAGTTATCCTTTTTTCGCAGTTACAAACAAGAGAGGTAAAAAACTCAAGCCATTTACCGCCATCAAAGCGATGTTGCGAAATAGCAGTTACCAATGCCTATGTCATCCTGTCTGCTGTAAATACCTTAAAGCAAAATGGATGGAATTTGGATGGAAAGTGTGCACAACAAGTTTTATGTTTTATTTCTTGTTTTTGGTTTCTCTTAACGTCTACGCGTTTGGAATTCCTTCATATAAGGCGTCTGTTGGCAAAGATGGTAATGTGAAGATTAATCAAAATACATAACAACGGTAACTCCAAGTAACGTAAACATTTTGATTAAACGTTTCAACTCTATTTAGTCATCATCAGAAATGATTATGTTACATGTGTATGCATTATATATAGACTGTATGTGTTTTGATGTAGTTGACAGAAGACAGATAGTTCTCTCTTGCCTCGACACAAGACTACACGGATATGCTACTACAGACAACAAATCAAAAATCTATAAACACATCAACAGCTGCGAACAATTTACTCATCTCACTGATTTCTTACAACTTAACATGGACGAACCCAATACCGAACAATTTGACCCAACTCTCTTCCTGTTGAACAACTGTCACATCATAGACAGGGCAAGGATTGGTCAAACCTTTTATTCAAAGAAACACTCCCCATCCGTAGAAAAAAACCGGAACTTAATCATGGCACTAAAGCTTCGAGTGAACTATCTGTTTCTGTTAACTTGGTCAAATTATATAAAGTCTATATATACTGCGCACGCATGTAATATAATCATTCCTGATGATGACTAAATAGAGTAGAAATGTTGAATCAAAATCCTTACGATATTTGGAGTTACCGTTGTTATGTATTTTATTAAAATACTCAGTGGTTCCCAAACATTTTCGAGGAGATTAATTATTTCACGATTTTCTTGAATTTGTTTAGTTTTATGTTTTCGTTATTGAAACTATTTGTGTTTAGAATTACCAAGTGCGTCGATAAATGTTAAGGTAGCGATGCTTATCTGCCTCATATCGGCTGGCGTTCAAACATTGAAAGAAATCGGTCAGGTTAGCATTTTCAGTTTGTGGTCGTAAAAGTTCCCTCGTATAAGCCATGTATATTATAAATACCACTTTATGTTTGTGCTCGTTGCAAAGCTGTTATAAAATATTAGGGACTGCGATCAAAAAATGAGACTTATTCATGACAGCAGAATGATACGTAGAATGAAAACGTATGTATTTTGCCTTGGAACATCGGCTTTCTCAGTGAAGGTGTGATTGATAACCTTGCAGTTGCAGAACAACAATAGCATGACCTCAACAATATGGCTGCTATTTGTTAAAGCTTATTTATCTTTTAGTTTTATTTTAATTTAGTGATGTACGTTACAGTTTTAATTGGCAGTATTAGTATTTTGTTCCATTTTATCTTCAACAGCAATCCTTCATTTCTATAACATTTCTGTAAGAAATGACAAGCTACAAACCTATAACAAAAATTTTTTTGTGTATAGGGCTGATTTTGTTGTCCTTTCCCCTGTATAAGAATGGCGAAATCGTTAAAAAGGAATTTAAAAAATATGTCTACGCTTAATTTGATCTCTTGATATTGACATGCTCTATTTAATTATGTAGTTATTCGTTTACAAATTCAATTATCTTATGGACAAAGTTAACTATTTGGAATGTGTTCTCTACGTATCAACATTCATCTTTGCTGTACCAAGTAACGACAGTATGTCTGTAAAGACAAGTTTTCAATGGATGGCCTGTTCTGTAGCGTTATTCTGTGCTTGGATAAATCTTATTATGTATTTAAGAAGGTTTGCCTCCTACGGTATAATTATTCTTATGATGAGAAAAATTTCGTTCACACTAATCAAGGTTCGTCTGCTGAAGTTAGGACTTCTCCCTCTACCCTAATGTTTAATGATATCAACAATTCTTATTTAGGTCATGGGTCTCTTAATATTTTTCTTGGTCGCTTTTGCTGCCGCTTTTACAGTAATAATGAATGATAGACAGGGATTTGAGAGGTTTAGCGTGTCTATCTTAACTGGAGCAACAATGACGATGGGAGAGTTTGATTTTAAACAGACATTTCTCGGTGACCACTCTGATTACAACACATTTTATCCACTACAGCTGGTCCTCCTTGTTGGTTTTCTCGTCGTTATGCCTATCATTATTATGAACCTTCTGCTTGCCCTTGCCATTGATGATACCAGTAGCATTATGCAACACGCTAAGCTGCAGAAACACATTCAAACGGTAAGGATATTCATGAAACTATCAAATTAGATCCTATAGATAACGTATGTCAATGAAGTTAATGATGAATGAACGTCAGACAACAAGAACAGTCTTACAGTATCTAAAATATAAACTAAGATAACGTGTGTCAGTGTAGGTAGTGATGAATGAGCAATGGAGAACGAGAACAGTCTTTGCACTATCTAGAATATAAACTATGATAACGTGTGTCATTGTAGGTAGTGATGAATGAAAACAGATAACGGGGACAATTTTTACACTACTTAAACTAAGATAACGTGCAGGTGGTGATGAATGAATGAGGTGAATAAAAGCAGTCGTTATGACATTTACAACATTTTTCTTTTAATTGATTTAGGCAAAAATGATAATTGACATAGAACGGAAGAGGTTTTTATTTCCATGGCGAAGTAGAAAAACACTCATACCTCGTTTACAGGAGAGACCCAACAAGTCATACAACTTTACCCGCGCCGTTTGGGATTTTGTATTTTACGGTCCTGATTTTTCTACCAATGTAGCCGATGAGAGCCGGGAAGAAATGGGAAAGAAACAAGACATGTCAACGTTGATTCAAATGGTTAAAGAACTGCAAAGGCAGAATGCTGTTTTGCAAAATAAAATGTTAGAGATTCAAAACGAGTTTACAATGGAAAGGAATCGTAGATCAATCGAGTATGTCCGAATGAGTCAAGATAAACAAAACGCTACTACTCAATTTCGAGGTAACATTTCTTATTTGTAAAAATGTTACTGAATTTTCCAAAAACACACTTCAAAGCCATGTAAAGACTGATCTCTGTCTCTGTTGTTCATTCATCACTGACAGTTCTCGTTCTCTGTTGTTCATACATCACTACCTACATTGACACACATTGTAAGTAGTGGAGAAGCTGTTGCCTTTACGTACTTTTGTATTTTCTTAAATAGGTTACAGTGAGAGCATAGAAACCTTTAATCCAGAGGAGACAAGAGCTGAGTCTAAGCGAAAGGCTTGGGGAAAAGTACAAAACGATCATAAGAAATTCGGTGTACCGAATTCAAGTGACTATTGCGTCGGTGATGATTTGAAGTATTCTGAAGGAGATTTTGACGAAGAGAGAAAAGCAAGGGAGAACGATCCCGAATTAAATGAATTAAAGAGACAGCATAGTCAAATGGATACATACGAAGATAAAGATGGGGTATTCGTTCATGATGATGTAACAATTTCTGTGAATGAAAATGAGGCTGAAGACAGTAGACTATTTAATAATAATGATAAACTGTCAATGATTCTTCGTACTGATTCCAGTGCTGTCTGAAATCCTGAAACAGCAAATCCTTAGGAACCCATTCCACCGAGTTAACCACAATTTGCTACTATGGAAACTGTCGTCAATATGGTTAGAGATTTCCCCAAAGTGGTAGCGCATGATTTTAACAAGATGTGTCATTTTGACAGGAAGAAAATGTTTTTAATGTGTTATAATTCTAGAATACAAACCTTACTAACGCCCATGGCATGATCTTTGGGTTTAGCGCAGCGTAGCAACTTTCTTTTTTAAATGCATAAAAAATGTTAAATAAAGGTTCCAAAACCAATTACTATCGAGACGATTTAGGTCGAGCGAAACACGCTCTCATTGTCAGCGTTATTTTCGAGGTTCTTGTCTGTGTGTTCAAGATCCGCCCTGGTATTTTTGCGTTGGATGAAGAACTCTTTATTAAAATGTTTAAAACAAAAAGATTAAATAGAAATTCCAAAGCAATTTAATGTCGTGATGATTTACGTCAAGCGAAGTACGCCCGGGTTCGGTGCAATTGACTGCGGGCTCAAATTGCATTTGCCAAAATTTTTCGCAAAGTTAAGAAAATATAAAAAGTACATATAGTGTTATCTTCTAAGCTGCACATCGCTCCTTCACCTCTCTTCTTCACGTTTCTCCTTCACATCTCTTCTTCACGTTTTTTCCATTCACATCTTTTCTTCATGTTTCTATTATTTACCAGCGCCACTTGTTTTCTGTCTTTCACGTTGATAGTAGTGGACTTTTGATCAAGCGTTGAATGTTTCGAGGAAACAGGCAGGATTCGCACCGGAACATAGAGTGGAGTTGGCATGCAAAAAATTCGGACCTTGTACATATTTTTTGTCTTCGTTTTTATACAAAAGCTGCGGATAATTCTTGTAAGGAATATGAAACGCCTTCATGTATTTAGTCTATTTTAGGCGATTTTCTTCTACAGCTCTTGCTATACAAAAAATGCTTGTCTTCTACGTTAATATACATTTATTTTAGGTTGGCTTACCATGAATTTCAATAAAAATAATTTGCATTAGGAAATCCATGGTAAGCTATGTCAGAATTGACCATCGTGTCTGATCGCCTGCTAACACCACAAACATTAAATAAAAATGATCAATGAATTTATGTGAGCTCGTTGCTCACCGAACGAGCGGAACCAATTGTAACTATATAGTCTATATTTGCGCAGCCGCAAAGGTTCGAACTATTTCACCATTTCTATAATTGAACAACAATCTTCAAGTTCATAGTGATAAACAATTGTTTCCAACACGTCTCGACGTTTATAAAAAGTTTCAAAACTTGACGTCACCAACATCTTAATGCCCAAACTCATATTTGCGTTATTTAATGGTTTAATGATTTGCGTAATATCACAGAAAAATGGTCAATTGTCATTTGCATTTTACGTTTATTAATGGATGAAGAGCATAGTTCTTTTGTTTGGCAACAATACGTTTTTTTTTCAAAATTTAGATTTGATAGATATCCGATAATTTGTTCAAGTACGAACAATTTATGTGGAACAAATACATATAATGATATGCTTAACACCATGCATAAAGGTACTATTCACTTCAAGTTTTACCTCATACAAGTCACGAGGCGTCGTGGAAAGCAGATGTTGTTCATAAAAGATGGAACAAGACTATACACATAGGCGACGAGTATAAAGATTTTTGATTATGCAGAGCAAAATGAAGTTGTTGGCTTCAACTGTCATCGACGACAAGTTACCGAAAGACGTCTGATATGATTGCCGATGTATTTGAATGTTTTGATGAAAAAATCAAGACCACCAACATCTGTGAATGCAACTGAACAAGAATTGGAATCTTTGAGTTTAAAGAAACGTTTTGAGAACATAGAAAAATACGCTCGTAGGACTGAAGTCGCTACAAAAGAAGAAAGGAAAAGGTTGGTTAGTGTTTACAACACTACTCGGTAATAGCCGATAATTTTGGCATAATCCTATCAACAGGAAGAGGATTTTTCCGATATTTGGGGGAAATTTCGGTTGTTCAGATACCAAGAGGAGAGGAGAAACTAAGTCATATGAGTACAAACGTAGGTAACTACATTGACGTTAAATATTTATTTGCTTCTTGATTCTATTGTTCTTGTGAAAATCGCAATGGTTTTTATTGATGCTGCTGATTTTTAGTTTGTTTCTTCAATGTCACATTAGTCATTACTGAATATATGCAATGAATATAAGTACACTGAATTTGTCTTTGTGAAAGGTGATAAGCTCCTAAGGAGCCAATCACATTAAAAATTCTAATCATGACGTCAATTAAAGAATATAAATTAGTTTTTTCACTTCAACGGTTAATTAGTCACTTTAACGTTGTAGAAAGAAAGGTAAATCTGTCTTTTTACTGACGATATAAAGAAGTATGAGTTACGTGGAACAATCAACTAGTCTTTGTGCAGGCCTCGTAATATGAAAGCTTTCACTGTAAAATGCTTTGACCACAATGTTAAGTCTTCGATTGTTTAAAACTTACCATAAGAGTGCATTGTAAATTGTAATCTGTCGAAATGGCGATTCATGATTTCACTAGCTACTTTGTTGGTTAACAATGTTGAGTACTTTGTTTATGGAATGGTATAAAGGCATTGAATGGACATCACTTTGGCATATTTACGTATGAACATAATATTGAAATTACTGGACTAAAAAAACGAAATATGTTCTACGAAGATGGAAAACAAGCGAGTGGAAAAACACGATTCATGTCTTGTGGTTTGTAAGTTGAGTAAATAAGTGTTGTATGAGTATCTGCATGAGATAGTTAAAAGGATCCTGATGGTCTATTTCTATAATTTGAGCCTTAATCATGAAAAACACCTTAATCAAATAAAATAAAACAGTCTGTTTTTCATGACAAAATTTGTCAATTTTTGTTTATCAACGAAGGATGTCACTTGCTGTGAGAAAATAGCTGGCTTTCATTCACTACTTTTGATAATTACATTTAACGTTCATAACGAAAATTGCAATGCTGCAAGTAGCTAGGGGTCATTGAATTTCGCAAATAAAAATGCTACCATATATTTCTACGACATACACACAAAACTGCGCAGTGAAAAAATAGGAAGAGACCGACCAAGTCGCCTGGATCAAACGGACTAGGACAACTCTTGGAAATCAGGTATAAAAGTTTTGTTCTTTTCAATGTATTTAATTTCTGTTCTTGATAATTCATTTTGCTGACATTTACAACGTGTTTTTTGTAGAGTGACTTTTTCTGTAGGTTACTAACTGGACAATTAATGAACGACCAAGTCAGACAGAAGCACCAAGAAACAAGCGTCCTTGTAGAAAGAATCACACTTTTCTTATGCATAACGTTTATCAGTATAACGCATTTTCAAGCACAACAGCTTAAATCTAAATTTTCACAATTGTTAAATTTTCTGACAAAACACGTGAGTGAAAGCCAGCTGTTAATGAAGGTGTTAATGAAGCAGCATAGAAATTTTGAATGAAGTCTAGTTGACATCAAAAATGATTTTTATTTAAGTCATGACGTCACTTTAGTCATTTCATTTTCTCATTGTTATTGACAGATGAATGGTCATGTCGTACGTACTGAATAATTTTTTCATATAATTTTATGGGATGCTTTTAATTTTCATTTTCGTCTATTCATTAAAATGTTTAACATTCGGCGCACTTTCATTTTTTGTTCTCTACGAAAGTTTGCGTTTCTTTTGTTGAACACAAAATATTTGCTGTGTCAATAGGGTAGTCAGTCCGCTTTTTTGTCGCTCTGTAAATTCAAATTTTTTATACGGCTATATAGGACGCACGATCTGACTACGCTGCAGCATATTAAAATAGATCATCGGGATCATTGAAAACAACATAAAAAGGAAACATCTTAAAACTACAAAAATTTAAGAAAATTTTTCTAAATTTTTGATCTTTTTTATTATTGGAGGGTTTTTTCCCGGATCCACTGGTTTTCCCTCCCATTTCGTTTTGTTTTGGGAAAAAACAGTGTCCACATTTGGGGCCAAGCAAAGCCATTTTGTCATAACATTATTTATTATGGCTATCAGGAATATTCACGTTTTCTTTTTAATTTCCTGGCCTTTGGGTACATCTCCCAAAACACTGCGTTTATTAAATGCAATGGCATACATTTAAAAAACTTATGATCCTATATAAAAAAGTCACATTTATCCATGCAATCATAACTATAATCACATTACCCGCCAATGTCCTCTATAAACCTTGAAATAACCAATATGATCCACATGGTATACGTACCAAACCACCATCCACGATAAAAGTCAGTCGTCAAATTTTGACACACGTGCCCTGAAATATCATCGACATAGTCGCATAGGTCTAATCAAAGAAGTATTCTTTCTGATGTGCCTAATTGGAGTGTTTCGAAGGTTTGCTTTTAAGGGTGGTTATTGAAAGAAGAACTTGTCTATTTTCAGTATTTACTGAGAAACCGATTACCACACAATCTCTGGTGAATTAAATGTGAATTTCATATATATTCAAACAATATTTTTAGCAGAGATTAATGTTTCGTATTTTGAACAAAAATTACATGAAATGAAAAACAGCCCAAAGTTTATTGAAATAAACCTTGCCAACACAATGTTTAAATTTAAAGGCACACACATGTACAAAATGTCTGAGTTCGATCTATCGTTCATATCACGCCAATTAACATTCACCACCACCAGACCTGTCTTGAAGAAAATTAGTAAATCCAAGCTAAGTTGCAATCTTTAGCTTGAACACGAAACCACTCAGCTATGCCTATAGCAATGTTTGGCTAGCACTTCCCCTTCGATAGTAACTTATAGTCATAATTTTTAATTCTAGCTTGGGGGAGGTGTCGAATGAAGGAAAGAATATGAAGTTACAAAAGTGACAAGTGATAACGTCATTATAGTATTCATACCACTGTATATTTAGCGTTTTTATTTATATAAAGAAACATCTTGAAAAAAGAACTTGTTCCTTAAACAGAAAACCTTGCTATATTCTTCTTTATCGATAGATAAGCAAGTTATTAGTATTACAATATCGTACCTTGTTTATATGTCATATTATGTCACATAGTGACATATACACACGGTAAATTATCGCTGCATTGTACTCTTCGAAATTAATTGTAAACGGTTAGCAACATGAGTCAGATATGCGTCTACGAGCTCTTACCCAAAGATAGAGGCTGGCTACGACAATGTTATAATTAAATGAACAGTTGGAATTATTTAACTGGATTGTAAAGACAGCCAGGAGTCTTTACAGAAGAACAAAGAGAATGAACCAACTGTGGAAGATTCTCGCCCTTTTTTCCAGGAATCGAAGAGGCGATACAGTCGTATGAATTCAGAAGATCTGATGCCGAAATCAGGAGGATAACAGATATGAAATAATAACAATTCGTAATTTCTAAACATAAGTACTCACGTGTATTATT